CAACGACAAACATCACGGTAGGGCTTCTTCGGAGAAGAAGCAAATCGACTCCAACGCCTGTCGGTGTTGCGGGAAGATGGGCCATTGGGCACAGGAGTGCCCAAATCGCAAGAAGGAAAAGAAGGCTCAGGCTCACCTGGTGAAAGCCGATGATGAGGATGAGGCCACTATCCTTATGGCGACGTTCTATGCACTGCACGACGTCGAGGCCATGGAGAGGGAAGAGGCGACAACGGTGGAAGGATCTAGCAAGGCCCTGAAGACCGTCAACCTCGACGAACCATGCGCCCAAGTCCATCTCGGGCGTGTGGGCGCCGACCAGGAGCAGCAGTGGTATCTGGACTCTGGTGCCAGTAACCACATGACGGGCTCTAAGGACTCCATCTCCGAGCTCGACGGTGATGTTACCGGTACGGTGAAGTTTGGTGACGGCTCAAGGGTGGCCATCCAAGGGCGCGGCACCATCATCTTCAGATGCCAGAACGGGGAGCACCGTGCGCTAACGGATGTATACTACATCCCGCAGCTGCGTTCCAGCATCATCAGCATTGGTCAGCTGGATGAGCGTGGTAGCGAGGTTCTGATCAAGGACGGCGTTCTAAGGATCAGAGACCGGGAGCAGCGACTTCTAACCAAGGTGAAGAGGTCCATGAATCGGTTGTACCTGCTCGACCTAAAGGTAGAGCAGCCGATCTACCTAGCGGCAAGGCACTCCGAGGAGCCATGGATATGGCATGCCCGGTTCGGACATCTCAGCTTCGACGCACTTGGTCGGCTGGGAAAGATGGTCCGAGGGCTACCCCACATCAAGCACGGAGGCGAGCTGTGTGACAGCTGCCTGGCCGGGAAGCATAGGAGGCTACCTTTCCCAAAGGTGGCCAAGTATCGCGCGAAGGAAGCTCTCGAGCTAGTTCACGGCGACCTCTGTGGGCCGATCACGCCTGCTACATGCGGTGGTCGGCGGTACTTCCTCCTGCTCGTGGACGATTGCAGTCGCTACATGTGGCTGCAACTCCTGACGAGCAAGGACGAAGCGGCGGTGGCGATCAAGAAGTTCAAGATGCGCGCGGAGGCCGAAAGCGGCAAGAAGCTCCGTGTACTGAGGACTGATCGGGGTGGCGAATTCACTTTGGTAGAGTTTGCTACGTACTGCGCAGATCAAGGTGTGGGGCAACATCACACCACGCCGTACTCGCCACAACAGAATGGCGTGGTGGAGCGACGGAACCAGACAGTGGTCGGCATGGCCTGATCCATGATGAAGGCCAAAGGGATGCCGGCAAAGTTCTGGGGAGAGGCGGTGACCACGGCGGTGTTCATCCTCAACCGCGCTCCAACCAAGGCCCTAACGGGCAAGATGTCGTTCGAAGCTTGGTACGGGCGCAAGCCGAACGTGTCATTCCTCCGGACATTCGGTTGCATCGGCCACGTCAGGAAAACAAAGCCGAACCTCACCAAGCTGGAGGATAGGACCACACCCATGGTGTTCCTGGGCTACGCGGAGGGTACCAAGGCGTACCGGCTCTATGACCCTCGCGGAGACAAGGTGACTGTCTCGCGCGACATTGTGTTCAACGAGGAGGCAGCTTGGGACTGGAACAGTCCAAGCATGGGGGAAGCGGGAGGCTTCACCAACACCTTCTTCATCGAGCACTTGGTCATCCACGGCGGTGAAGACGCTGCGGAACAGGTGCCACGCACTCCGGGAGAAGCGCCGAGCACTCTGGCGGTAGAGTCGAGCACTTCTGGGGCAGTGCCGAGCACTTCGGGAGCAATGCCGAGCACTCCAGGAGGAGTGTCGTACACTTCTAGAGGGATACCGAGCACGCTAGGAGTGGAGCCAGGAGGTTCTGCAGTGGTGGCGACCACTTCAGGACGGGTGCCGAGCACTCCCATAGCGGAGCCAAGACGTCTTACTGTGGTACCGACCACTCCAAGACTAAGGCTGGGCACTCCTACAGTGTGGCCGAACACTGCAGGAGTTATGACGAGCAGTCCAGAAGAAGTGCCGAGCACTTCGGGTGCTATGCAGGGCACTCCGGCGGAAGAAGGAACTTCATCGCCCCCGATCGAGTTCGTCTCACCTCCTAGTGATACCACTGAGTTCGTGGACACCTACCATGAAGGGGAGGAGTTGAGGTTCCGCAGGCTGGACGATATCGTCGGCGGCACAGGTCCCTTAGGACTGGCGGCCAGGCTGCTCAACGACACAGAGCTGCTACTCGTCAGTGCGGAGGAACCACCCACATTCGCACTAGCTGAGCGCGATGGAAACTGGCGACGGGCAATGCTGGAGGAGATGAAGGTGATTGAGGAAAATGAGACTTGGCAGCTCGTCGATCCACCCCCAGGATGCCGTCCGATTAGCCTGAAGTGGGTGTACAAAGTCAAAAGGGACGAGCTCGGCGCCATCGTCAAGCACAAGGCGCGCCTCATCGCTCGAGGCTTTGTCCAGCGCGAGGGCATCGACTTCGAGGAGCTCTTTGCGCCGAAGAGCGCGCGCATGAGAGTCGGTCATTTGCTACTTGCTTTGGCGGCAGACAAAGGAATGGCGCGTCCATCACTTGACGTTAAATCGGCCTTCCTCAACGGCAAGTGGCGGAAGCTTGGTCTTCGTCGAGCAACCTCCGTGGTTCGTTGTCAAGGGAGAGGAGCACAGGGTGCTCCGATTGCAAGAAAGCGCTCTACGGTCGGCAAGCCCTCGAGCATAGAACGCCAAGCTTGACACCACGATGGGCGAGCTTGGGTTTCAGAGGTGCGCAACCGAGCACGCGCTCTACACACGACGATGGGGGAAGGAAGAGCTCATGGTTGGCGTGTATGTGGATGACTTAATCGTCACCGGCGCACGCACGGAGGACCTCAATGACTTCAAGCGCGAGATGGCAGCTCGTTTTTGAATGAGCGATCTCGGCAAGACTTCTCCTACTACCCGGCATCGAGGTGAGGCAAGGAAGGAGGAACTCACGCTCAGCAGAGCGCGTACGCCTCCAAACTGTTGGAGAGGAGCGGCATGGTGGAGTGCAAGCCATGCGTGACTCCGATGGAGGAGCGGCTGAAGCTGATGAAGGACAGACACCACGGTGAAAGTGGATGCAACACTCTCACCGAGCATCGTCCGCGGCGGTCTGCGCTACCTAGTCCACACAAGGTCGGACATTGCGTTCATTGTGGGCTACGCTGGCCGCTTCATGGAGGATCCCAGAGGATCACTCGGGCTGCGGTGAAAGCGGCTACTACGCCACGTCAAGGGAGGGTGAATCATGGAATCATTTTCCCAAAGACCGGGGAAGTAGGTGCGGCTCATGGTGTTGTTGATCTGAGCACATGGTGGGGACATCGATAGATGACGGAGCACCTCCGCATACTCGTCTTCCTCGGGTCAGCCCCAATTTCATGGTTGTCATCTGAAAATGAAGGTGGTAGCGCTATCTCACGCGGCGAGGCGTAGTACGAGCGGCGCCACAATGGCGGCCAAGTTGTTGTTGTGGCTACGCCGTCTGCCGGGCGAAGCTAACCGACGTGGAAGCTCACCCACTAGCACTGATGGTGGACAACCAGCCCGCCATCGCCCTCGCAAAGAATCTGGTTCTGCACGACCGGAGTAAACACATCGACGTGAAGTTCCACTTCCTCAGGGACTGTGTTGATGGAGGGCAGATCGTCATCGAGTTTGTCGAAACTTGTCGGCAACTCACGGAGGTCCTCACCAAGCCGCTCGGACGACTTCGACTTACGGAGCTGAAGGAGATGATCGGCATGGAGGGGGTGCAAGGGTTAGCAGTAGGATTAGGGGAAGATTGTTAACTAATCTACTGCCACCTTGTGTGAACACAGCAGAGGAAGGCGGCGCCGACTTTACCCCCAATTGTGATACTATAGCCGCTGCAGGTGCAGGCGCCGCACGGCTCACCTGCAGCACTGTAGGCACATGCAGTGGCTGGCGCAGAGTCAGCCCTGTATGTTTATCTAGTTACTGTTACAGCATGTGCGCTGTACTTTAGTTAGATAGATAGAGTTGTATAAATAGGGCACCAAGGCAACTCAGTAAAGAGAGCTCAGATTTGCCATCACACAGACAGGGCCTCGACCAACGTTGTTGTCTTGTATTGTGCGTGCTTGCTCTGTTCTCCTTTCTTCTTCTAGCTCGATCCGTAGTGTGTGGGTACGGACAAAACTGGTGGTCGGCATGGCTAGTGGCCAGGGGTCTGAGACTAGTGGTCTGGAGGCCAGGGGTCTGAGACTAGTGGTCTGGGGACTAGTGGTCTAGAGGCCAGGGATGTGAGGCTAGTGGTCTGGAGGCTATCTGGTTCACTGTCGTCAGCCGGTGATCCCGTAGGTCAACAGTTCAGTGTCCTATCTGCTTAGGTGAGAAAATCCTTTCTCAGTTTGCTTAGGGATTTGGATATTACATTGTTATTCTTCAGTTTTCTCGCATGACTAAAGCATTCAGATTAAGGAGCCGTGTTTCTCTATTGAATTGTCTGCACTAGCTGTTTGCTAGTACAAACTCATCTTCCAGTTAATTGTAGCATGATAATATGGCTGCCTTGTATCATATATATACATGTCATTTTTTTATGGTTTACCCCAAATGTAACTGTTTGCTTAGATGTGGTCCGCTTTGTCGTCCTTATTTTAATACATCCACTGGCTGTAACCCTTCTGGTTCTGGTGTCAATTCATCTCTAATTTCTCTTGTATAAACCTACCATGTATCACATCTGATGGTTTTATTTCCTATAGGCCATATGATGCTGTTTATCACCTGTTCTTTTTGCAAAACTTGCTAAGTCGTTGTGTATTAATCTTAAGCTAAGGAACATATTTGATGAAACCCTAGCAAATCCAAGTAGGAAATCTGTTTGTTACTGACTACAATAATTTACAGGTTCGAAGTTTGAGAATTTCATTGCTTGATTTGCATATGTCAGATGATGATATACCATGGAGTCTAATCCTTCTATTTTGCAGGCATTATCCGGAAGACGAGGACAGTTATGGAATGTTTGCACCGGTTCTGTAGAGACTGCATTGACAAATCTATGCGACTAGGGTATGATGGCAGGCGCCATTTTTCTCTAAAATTGTGTCACAATCAATTTTAACAAGTAGTATTTACAGTTTAATTTTGTCTCTAGATCATAAAATAGAGTGTTATTATCTGATAATAAAGATAATGCTCTGATTTTGCAGAAATAACGAATGCCCAGCATGTCGCACTCATTGTGCAAGCAGACGTTCTTTGAGGGACGATCCTAAGTATGATGCACTGATTGCAGCCTTGTATCCAGATATTGATAAGTATGAGGAAGAGGTGATGTCATATGTCTATAACTCTATATGCCCTACCATTGTTTTTTTATCCTCATTTAGCTTCTCCATGAAGTGCTTCTAATATACTTGACACTGCAGGAATTTGCTTTCAGTGAGCAGGAGAGGATTCGGAATAAAAAGGTGACCTCATCTGCTTTGGCAATACCAGAACTGTATTTGTTTATACAGAACTCATTTTGATTATATTCTTATATTATATTTAACCATCAATATCAACACACCATTATTTTTTCATTAAAGATACAAGAAGCCATCGAGGAAACATTCCGAAGACAGTCCGATGCAATTGGTAAGAAACGTTCCATGCCAAAAGCAACTGCAACTGCCTTTGCAAGGAAGTACAGGAGAACCCGGGGGAGAGTTAGAACCATTACCCCTGATATTGCCCCTACTGGCTCTGCTGAGGAGGATAGAGAAGAAGAAAATTCCAAAGAGACCACCAGAGAGCAATCTTCTACTGATGATCATTCTCCAGATTTAAGACAGAAAAGATGCAGGAAGAGGTCTGGACCACAAGGATCGCCTGCTGGAACCATTGGCACTATCGACCACAGCTTTGAGGAGAATGATGAATTAGTTGGTGGAAAAGAAATTTTAGCCACCTCTCCGTTGCGGGGAGAGATGCTTGCATGGGGGAAAAATGGTACACGGAGCCAAAATCGACACGGCAGTGTTGGTTCAAATGGCAGGAGTGGAAGGAGTGGACGCATTGCAAAATTGGTGGATCACCTCCGTACTGCTGATGAAATGGACAAAGAGGTAGTTTTCATTTTGTGTGTATGTTCTTTTGGATATAGTATTTTCTCACAGTTACATGAACCAAAACATGTTTGGGAAACGACTCTCTAGGGAGGGACAAAACAGCATGTCCTGTTTCGGCAGTGTTGCTTGCCTTTTTCCTTTTCTCCCTGCTCTTCAAGGGAAAAAGTAGGAAAGGATCGCTGGTCTTTTGTCACACCAGATGCATATCTCTACTGTATATGTCTTCCATCCATGCTTCAGTAGTTCTGTCCAGACGAGCTTAACCTAAACCTGTAAATGGAGTGTGCCAGGTCTGCTGAACTGTCCATATTTCTGTTTTGCAGTTCCAGCTGTATGTTGTTCTCCTTCCTGTCGACGGACAAACCATACCTAACTTGGAAAAGCCTTATCTAAGTTGTCGACCAACCTTGTCCATTCAACATCTTGTACAGGTGATTGCTTGTCTCAGTGAATATCTTGCTTGGTTTCTGAACATTCCTAGTTTACTCAGTTGGACCTAAATAACAAAAGGATGTGAAATCTTGTTATTGCAGTTCGTTGCTCTTCAATTGTCTTGGAAAGTCGGAGAAGTAGAGATGTACATAAGGATGGACTGCCACCGCGTAAGTGTTGGCTCGAAGCCTTCCAGTACAGGTGAGGCAAAACCACGTCCATTTGATGGCTTGGAAAGACTGAGGGAAGATAAACTTCTTTCGGAGCTTCATCCTTCATTTGCCTCTAGCAACGGTAACATGGTAAGACCCAGTATTGAAACAAATTTACTGCGATCATCCTTGCTCGCTTGCTCATGTTGCGCTGACAGTTCGCTCTTGTCTTTAATGCCAGGAGTTGCGATATGCTTTGAAAACTCGAGACTAGCAGTCTGTTTGTTTGGCTATGACTTGTCGTAAATGATCGTAAATTTTCAGCTAAAACGGTGTTTTTCTCTCACACAAACCAGCCAGCAGTACTTATTCACAAACCAGCAACGAAACGAACCAGCCAACTGAATCAATTTTGATCCTCAGCTATCAATTATGAAGTCACTGTCCATACGGTGGTAATGCAAATTAGATCTGCATCTGGTGGACGGATTTATGTAAAAAAAGAATATACAATGTGAGAAATGGTGTTGCTGTTTTTCTCGTTAGTCTCGCTAAGTTAGTTTACCATCTTTGTAATATATAACGAACTGATTAGCGAATGACCTCGGTAGGTGAGCCAAGCTGTCTTCTATTTACTGTTCATTATTTATACGAGTCGATGGCAGGATGGGAAATCGGAAGCTGATTATAATACAAAACCAAGTCGTTCTTTCCTTGTTCAGGCGCCTCAGTCTGCCACCCTTAACTTATCTAATATCTTTAATATCTTTTGTCCAAAAAAAGGCAAATTTTGCTGTAGACACTAGAGAAACGTATAATTGGCCAGTTTATACCGCAAACGGCGGAATTTCCTAGGTACGATTACAAATTCGTGGTTCTTCCTCCGACCACCCGCCCCCCGCCTAGACCATTGGTTCTCCCTCTGTTTCCGCCTTCCGGTAGGGGATCCCAGGCTGGGTCCATGAGGACGGATGCGGAGTGGTTCTTGGACACCGCAGAGCAATGTCGAGTCCGTACAGGTGGTTCTTGCCGGCGGAAAAATGGCAACGGCGGCTTCTTTGGCCGAGCAGAGCAAACAAGGGAGAGATAAAAGTGGTGCGACGCTTCTTGACGTGATTCTCACCTCCACGTGAACCCGATGACGGTGCTCCGGATGATGGGGAGGCAGCGAGCGGCGCGTTCAGAGCGGCGGAGTGCCGGGATATGGCAGCGTGGCGCGTACAGGCCACGGGGACGTGCAGTTCCTCGTAGGGAGAAGACCGGTGCGGCCATGGTGTTGCACGCGTGCGTCACGGGCTGAAAACCAGGCGGCGCGGGTCCTGCTCGGTCGGAAGAAGGGCCCGGACGGCGAGATCCGCAGTGGACGGTGAGGGGACCTCCGCCGCCGCCGAGCTAGGGTTGGGCCTGGAGAGGGCGCGGGCCGAGCAGGCCCAGGCATGGCCAGCACGGGAGCTCGCCGGAGGAGTAGATCAGAGGAGGAGACGGGCCCGGGCGGCAAAGTCAGGATCTCGCGAACCACCAAATTGGCGGCGGCAGTGTGTTTGCGGCAAATAATAAGCGAAGGGCCGGAGGTTGAAGAGAACGGCGAAAAGACATTTTTCCCAAACTTATCTCACGTGAAATAGAAATGAATAAAATAATCAAACACGGTATGTCTTAACAAAGAACCACGAATTTATAATGGCCTAGTAAATTCGAGAGTTTACGGTGTGAACTGACCAACTATATGTTTTTCTACTGTCTCACAGCAAAATTTGCTAAACAAACCTTATCTAATTTCTGACGACTCTGTAGTTTTCTCTGGAGTTCTGGTCCAGAGCTACTGGATTCTGGTCCCTAGCTTTCTACTGTGTCGAGAAACTATCTTGTACAAGGCAACTTTTTTATCTAGAGTCTTCTCAACCATTTATCCCTTGTCCTCTCCGGATCCTCTGCTCCAGCTTTCGTACATACAGCACATACCTCCCTCGTTGCACGCCTGTTCGGCTGGGCTGGCTGGCTGGGCTAGCCAGTCCGCTCATATGGCATAAATCAACTAGTAGTATTTCTCTTTCATATAAACGATCCAGCGACGATATGAATCAACAGCTATAAATGTGTCCTAGTAGTAAAGATTAGGACTAAGGTGGTGTTTGGATCCGGTGACTAAAATTTAGAAGGTGTGTCAGGAAGATGTTGTATGAGGTGTTCGGATACTAATAAAAAAAAACAAATTACATAATCCGTCAGTACTCCACGAGACGATTTTTAAGCCTAATTAATCCGTCATTAGCACATGTTTACCGTATTACCACCTTGTCCAATCATGGACTAATTAGACTTAAAAGATTCGTCTCGCAAATTAGTCACAAACTATGCAATTAGTTTCGTAATTAGTCTATATTTAATACTACATACATGTATCTAAACATTCGATAAGACATCGACTAAAATTTAGGAGAGACAACCAAACACCACCTAAGATGCAAAGAGATTTGGTCGCTCGGAGGATAGAACCCTTCAGCGACATTGGTCTTAGAAAGAGGAAGAGGGGCGCTCCAGGATGCTGGCGTGGATGAGCAGCGCCCACATGGGTCATGAACTCCCGTTGGCGACGAGCTTCCATGCGTGGACGCCGGCGTTGCTTGACGGCGCAAGGAAGAGGACGAACTCGGTCCAGCCCAGAAGTCAGCAAGCACCTTCCATAGCCGCGCCCTGTCTTAAACTCTACACCTGAGCTCACTCCCATCGGGGGGGGACAAGCACATGTATATTATTTTATGTTCTACAATCTCTATTTCGATTATAAATTGTTTGGGCCTTTTTCTAGCTAGACTAGATACATAGGTTTTGCTATGCTCTTAGATAACTATCTAAAACAATATATTAAAATATGCCAAAACATACTAGTTGTCTTCTACGTAGATTTTCATCATCTACTTCCCAATAAACACTATCACTCTAAATAAACATAACCAAAGATAGCCATGGCCTCTATTGGTCTCAACAATCCTCCGCCACTGGTTATACATAGAGTTGTAGATGTTCTTAACTTCACAACACCTTCTCTCCCGCCTTCGTCTTCCACAATCCAACGACACCGTGGGCATTTCCTTTGCGCACGTCCATGGGGTCCATACAACATGTATATAAGCACATCAAAGATTAATAAATAAGAAAGTGGTTGGCTCTTTTTTGCCATTCGTTCTACCATGTCATTTACGCATCACACTTAACATGTTATCAGTATGAGCGCTCTCTCCTGTTCTCTTGGAAATGGAAGACAAACAGCTCAATAAGAACAAGTAGAAGATTGAGATAGACAAGGTACAATCCCACCCCTATGCTATGTACCACCGGCATCTCTAACCCTTAACTTTGTCTTCATGGCCCATCACCTTGTCCTCCACATTGGTTTTCCTTTTGGAGATCTCTAGATTCAAGCGGAAACTGCTTAGCTCTCTTCACAACCTTCTCGTGAGTAGCGACGGGGTTTGTGGATGCGTGTTGATGGATGTTGTCATTGTTAATGTCACCACACCAACAACTTGATGGGAAATTTGACAACACAGAGAACATGATCGTGGAATACACTTGGGACAATATATTTGGAGATTTTAACTAGGCTCCTAATCTTTAAGATACTTTGTTATGATTATGCCCTATGTGTTGTAATAAGGATAATTGTTGTTCTTACTTTATTTTACCAAGCACATTTGCTATTGTAAGTTGTATCTATATATATTTGTTGAGTATTACATGTTCAATTCTCCATTTTATATAAATTGTACAAGAGTTGATCCAATAGAGGAAGAAATGACCTAGTGGACAGTTGTACCACTAACTCTATACTGTGGAAATAAAATATTTTTATACTCTCCAAAGAGCTAAGAAAATGTTTAACAATCATTGAACATGAACGTGATGCTATGATAGTTAGCTCTCGTCAGGCTACTATCATGCTCCCTGTGGATACTTGATAACAGATTGAGGATGCACTTTTGTACCCGATTCAACATGTACCTTATTGAGTTTTTAGAGAGATTGAAAAAAATGAGTTTCATGTTGAAACTTAGGAGGACAATAAGAAGAAGTTCCTTCTCATTACAAAATACAATAGATATGGCAAAGAGATAGTTGAAAAAGTTCCCTCACTACCGTATAGATTGTACTATACATACATCAAATTTTCAGAATGTGAATGCATTCCAAACTTGGCATGATCGCCTTTCCTGTCCTGGCATAGAGATGGCGAGGAAAACTATGAGCAATTATGTTGGTCACACTCAAGTGATGACAAATTTTCCAATCTTTCATTGGGGCTCTCTTACCTCAAAATTTAAATTGAACTGCTCAAGTTCCTTAAACGCATTCAAGGAGACATGTGTGGTCCCATCTGATCCAACCTATGTTTGGACCATTCAGGTATATCATGGGGTTCTTGGGGAAACGGATGGCCACCATTGTTTGTGACGATAAGAATAGCTAACGAACGGTTTTAGAAGTTTAGGGGGGGGGGGATCAAAATCCGGTTTTATATATGATGGAGAAAAACCAAACTTTATGAATTGTGGAGGGGTTAAAAGGAGTATTTCTCCGGCATGCGTTCATTTGTTCTGTGAAATTACCGGCAATGACACTCCGGAGAGAGAAAAGATGAGAGAATCAAAGAGTTTTCAGCAATAGCCTTCACTAATAATCAGGCTTAGAGCATCCACAGTAGACACTCTGCATGGTTCTTTATCACAAAATTTAGAAATAAAAAAGCTCCAATAGACTTTAAACCACTCTCTGTCTTTTCCTCTCTCCAAGATCACTCTTCTCGCTTTTTATTTTTGGAGAGGCTACATGAATCTCTAAAATCTAAATGCAATATGATGGTTTTCTTATAATTCTTTCACACAAGAAAATTTATGATAAACTATGGAGTATAGAGAACAAAAAAATGAAAAATCCATTGGCATGGAGACATGAGAAATATATAAAGAGAATATTCATTGCAGTCTTTTGCTAAAACACTGCATGAGCATCATATTTATGTGTAAATGTGTGTAATATAGGGTGTAAAACAATGTACGTAACTTGAAACGATCATCGGAAACGCGAAACGAAAGATACATTCAATGTCGCGTTATATCACTTAGGGTTTTAAATGAATTTTTATTGAGCAAAAATACTATAGAATGCATATACGACACTTTAATAAAGTTTGTAGTATAAGCTTCGTAGGTGACGATGAAATACTTGAGGTCGCGAAAGAAATTCACTAGCTAGCGTATCGAATAGCTTGGAAAC